TTCCTGCTGCACATCTTTTATAATGTGAATAGAACTATTGAATTTTTCCACCTAGCAATCACTTCACTTGTGTGATTAGGTCTAGCAAGCGTGAAAACGTACTACATATGCTCACGTGTCTGCAATTTAGGTAATTGTTTGTGATTTCTTTGAATTCTGTCTACAGATCCACGAGCAAGAGAGGTATTGTAGGTGACTTTTGTTCTTATATCAGATGTTATCCTTGTTGACAAATCAATAATTCTAGCTTGTCAATTTGGGATAACTTGACTGTTTAAGTAAATGTAAATCCCTTGATAATAACTTCTTCTTTTTTCGTAAAAAATCAATTCTTGAAAAAAGAAATTGGAAAGACTTCTCTCTCTACTATAGGATTTTGCTTGATTATATTTTGGTAAGCGTACATTAGAGTGCAGGCTAGTCGGTTTTTAAGGGACCCATTGCTTGACTCCTTTAATGGTTGATTACCTTGCCATTTTAAAAAAGAAATTTGGCTGACTTTTTTTAAAATCCTTGTTATCTTAAAAGGCCATTTAGGCTGGTTGGGTTGGTTTATTTAATTAAATAATTCATTATATAATATGTATTACCACTACTAATGCTACTCGTTAGACTATTTTAATATGGCTTTTGGATTGATTAAAGGTGGCATTGCAAAAGTAGGCCTTTAAATTAAAGCGTTCAGGCATAACTATCCTTTCTAAAAGACCATGTTTGATAAACATGTCAAGTGCACCATGTGAAAATACTATAGAGGTATGCTTTTGGAGCCTGAACTAAATATTGTGGATGTTCCACGGGAAGGGGGGTTTAAAGAGGGGCTAAAGTGTTTTATTTGAATTGAGATGGCCAGTTATCGGATATGTATGATATCATTGCATCTTCTTATATATGTGGTGTGCTATTCACATAATTATTATATAAATGAATGGAACTTTTAATCTGATTTTGATGGGCTTTCTGAGTTTCACGTGTTTGCAACTTTGCATACCAAATCTCTTCATCCCCCCTTCCCGAATTTCATCTGACTTTGATGGCTTTGGCTGTTTGAAGCCCTGCCATGCTTATTATACATCTAAGTTTGGTGTTTCTTTGTAATTTATTGTTTTCTACTGCTTAAGTCTTTACATAATCAAGCGCCCAAAAAAATGAACTGAATTTTGTGAAATTTTGGTGATTTTGAGACACAGATCTGAATTGTATTTTACCCATGTTTATTCCTATGTTGTTTGTGTTTACTGCATAATTTCAATCATTTTCTTCATTCTGGAACCATAAAAAGTTTTTCCAAATAACATGTATGTTGTGTGCATGTGTATTATCAATCAGGTTATTGTTGCTACGATAGCTTTTGTAATGGGTATTGACAAATAAAACATGTCAGAAGAATCATCGACTATGGTTGGCCACAAGTTTGTTTTTAAAGTACATTTCTCCTGCCATTATTAATTATAGAGTTGAAGAAATCTCAAATAATTGGATATGTATTTTTTGATCAGAGTTTGAAAGCCTACTGCCAAGAAGCTGGACGGGCCGGTCAAGATGGGAAATTTGCAGATTGCAGTAAGTTTAACTATACTAGAATATAATTTTTACCTTGTGATGCACTTTCCCTTTGTTTTTCTCTCAGCTTTTTGGTTAGATTTTAAACTTATATTACCTCCTTGATTCACACAAGTAGTATGTTGCTTATTGTTCTTTTTTATTTTTTAATTTTTATTGCACTATTTACATTTGCCCAACAACCAGTTCTGTATGCAAACATAGCAAGCAAGCCGTCACGTTTGCCTAGTTGGAAAAGTGAAGAGCCAGATGAAACAAGCCTATATCATGTTGTCTGATTGTTTCAGATTTGCTTTTGTAAATACATCTGTCTATTTTCTGTTTTATTTAATACAGAATCTTAATGTATATTTTCAGATATGTAATGAATACTTCATGCTGTCGAGCAAAGACGTTGAATACTTTGGAGAGGATTTCAGTCATTGGAGATGTCTCTAGTATGTGAAGTTGTGTATCAATGACTTGCTGTTTTATTATGTTTCAGCATCTATTGAGTGAAAAAATATTCTAAAATAGAATAGCTTGTACTGAGTTACCTATCTTGATTATTGCATTAGCATATTTGCTTCATTTTGTATTTAAGGGATTATCTTGTGGCAATGTGGCTGTTTTTTCTGGTAGTGAGTTAATATGTTTGAGTCATTTATTAATGCATGTTAGCCTTCATTTTGTAGCTTTCCTTATGAGCCCCCTTTCCTGCAGCTGTCACTTTTGCATTAATGGTCCACCACAAAGACTGTATCTAAAAGAAGGTAGTTGATCTAATGAGCAGGTAGAAGTGAAAGCTTTAGACAGCAAGTTTGTTGCAAACAAGGTGCTTTTTTATGTTTATATAGTGCCCCTTTTTTCTTTTTTATTTGCATTTATTATGCTCATTTTAATCTCTAACTAGTCTAGTGGACAGGTGTTTTATCATAAAATAGTTGATACCTTTAAAATTTGTACAAATGTATCCCAAAGCCTTGGTGGTCCCTGACCTGCATTATGGGAGGTGGAACACCCTTGATGTTTGTGGTCGAGCAATGTTAGAGAGTTTCTATTGAGGTCTTTGAAGAGAACTGTGAGTGAGAAGATAAAATCCATTACACCATTGCAGATAAGGATGATATCTACAAGTAATCTTTTCTTTAATTTTAAGCTTTTTGATTGCAATAAAATT